AACCAGATAAATAATTAGTCATATATCTAATATATATACACATACTTAATACTTTGAATAACCACTCAAGAGTTAAACGTTCATCCTTTTAGACTCATAAAATATAAAGCTTGATATTGTTCCTATAATGTATATTTGTATATGTAGAGTGTAGACCACAACATATGAACGCCTAATTTAGATAAATCTCATACATTACGTTGGATGAAAACTTGAAACCAATGTCCTTTTCAGCCTATGAAAATTGCTAAAAGACTAAGTCAATTCAAACTAACACAAAAATTCATTAACCCATACTATTGTGATAAATTTTTGTTAGGTGAATACTTGATAACGATGTAATTGCATGATTTTACACCCCTATTTCTTATCCATTTGCGGAGCATGGTTGTGTGTTTTGGCCTATTTTACGCCGGGTTGTGTTACTTTGTCCTATTTCAGGTCCCAGGCGTCAAAAGGAAGGCCAAGCGCGAGTTTCGGATCGTTTGGAAGTCGTTTGGACAAGCTAGGACCAAAACACGGGCAGGAGGCCCTCAGAACACGGCCGTGTTCCTGACCGTGTTTTTATGGCCGAGACTACCCAAGGGTGGCTTGAACCACCTAAAAAACACGGGCAGGCCTGAGAGAGAACACGGCCGTGTTTTGCAAAGAACACGCCCGTGTTTTCATGATGCCCGTGGACGTGTTTTTAAGCCAAATCCAAAACACGGGCGGGCTGAGGCAAAGCACGGCCGTGCCCTCGACCGTGCTTTGGCCAGTGATGCCCTTTTAGGCAGATTTCAGCCAAATTGAGAGGGGATTCGAGTTTTAGAGAGACAGAGCGATTCCTAGAGAGAGAAAGCGACGAACAAGAGTCTCCAAGTGCCCTAGCTTGATCTTCAACACCATTGGAGCTTGGCTTGAGCTTGGAGAAGTGCCGATTCAACGTCCAGGAGCAGAAATCCATCTTCACAATATGATTTCCGCGTCTGATTCTGCTTTTGCCTCTCTCTCCATGGAGTAGTTCTCCCATTCATCTGGGTGTGGGAAACCCTAGTTCTGTATGTTGGGATTGATTGTATGAACCCAAGTTTTGTTTCTATGAATTGATTATATTCGATTGAGGTTTTGAATGATTGAATGGCATGAATCCTGATCAAATTCCTGTTGTTTCTGCTTTAACCTAGAATGATAATATCTTCCTAGGTTAATAGAGTATCCTTAATTGAAGATAGTGAATTGGTGACTTTAGTCGAGGAGCCAATTCACTATTCTGTACCGAATTCAATTCGGTAGTGGAGTTTTTGTTCATAGGGCCTCAATCTTTTTACTCTGGTGGAGGTTAGTCGCCCGCTAGAGACTCAAATTAAGAGGGTCTGAAGACCTTTAGTCGAGACTTCAGACTGTTTGAGAACCTTCCGCAGTATAACTATCATAGAAATTGAACTTGGTAATTACAATCCGGCTTAACTGCAGACTAGGGGGAACCATATCCGGGTGACCTCTCTTAACCTGAAAACAACCGTTTAGTTGCTTTGCTTGCTTGTTAGTTTATACCTTCACTAAAGTTTCATTGCTAGATAATACGAATTCACTGAGTAGTCATCACATCTAGGACCCGGGTTGACATTGAAACCTAACCCGCTATACTACGCTTTAGGAAGTGGTTACACTTGGCCATTTTCTAGAGTGACAATAGGAGTGAGTCAATACTTCTATACTAACCGTAAGATAATTGTCTTAGTTGCATGTATTTATGTTAAGGGTCAACTATAAATATGTGTTGATTGTTATATTTTATTCATTATATAAATTGTGAAATGATAAATTAACCGAAAATTTCTCACTTAATAATATTGTAATTTTATATTGGTTAATCTGGTTAACCAATTAACCAAACTGATTTAAACTTTAATTTGGTTAATTTGGTTATTGTATTAGTTTGGACGGTTTGGTTATGATATTGTATTCCATGGTTAATGAAATTTAGCCTTATTTGGTTTGGTAATAACCATGGTAACCATTTGAACACCCCTAGCGAATATGGAACCCTTGGGTGTAAACTTCGTGAGGAAGCCACCCAAGAGAAGATAGAAAGTTTTGATGGTCGAATGACGGTCACCATCTTCCTTGACCGCGAGGAAGTGCGCGGCCGTGATTCACAGATCGTGACCGTGAAGCTAGCCTGCGAACTCCCCGAACATGAAGACCAAAACGGCAACGCCTGAAGATCACGGGCTCAAAGGGAAAGATCACGACGCGAGTTTACCCTGCGCGGCTGTGAACTTGTCCGCCCCACTAAAGTCTATAAATATAAGACATCTTCCCTTATATTAAGAAAGTTGATTTTGAGATAGATTAAGGGTAACTTTGGAAACAAAAAAATATCACACATGATTACTCTATATATTCTACCAAAACCCTAGTACAACCCATCTTCCCAGTCGCCGCTCCCGAACTCCCTCTCCCTCTCCCAAACATCCACCAGAAAATCGATCTCTCCAGAGAAACCCTGTACCTCACAATCAACATCATCGACCATTTCCTCTCTGTGCAATTCATCCCGAGGAAGGAACTACAGCTAGTCAGAATCAACGTCATTCTAATGACATCCAAGTACGAAGAGATTTGGCTATTGGGGGTCAACGAGTTGGTCATTATCTCTGACAAAGCCTACTGTGGTTAGCAGATTCTTGCCATGGAGAAGACCATCCTCGCCCATCCCGAATGGACCCTAACTGTTCCGACCCAATTCGTCTTTCTCATTTGATTCGCAAAGGCTGCTACGGCGAAGACCACGGCGTCACCCATGCCTAATGTGGAGGTAGAGCACATGGCGTTGATCTCTAGCGACGAGACCAGGCTTCTGGTTATGAACGCGGTGGAGCAGGTGAGAGGCGATGAACGTAGGGGTAACTCCCGTCGGCGATGGTTTGGGGTTTTTTTTAACAAAATATAATCATATTGATTGATAAAAAGATCACGGACTACACCCTGGACCCAACCCAGGCACAAAAATCATACAAACGACACGCAGTCGGAGACAAAGAAAGGGTCTTCCTAGCCACTGAATGGGCTACCCTATTGCTAGTCCGACCCACGAATCGAACACTAAAACCACTACTCAGAGTCATCAAATGCATAATCTCCTCGATAATAACCCCAACACGAATGTCTTGCGCATCCCTGGCAGTAATCTTATCAGTGAGCATCTTCGCACCACCTTCAAAGCGAACTTGAGGGATGCCCAGATTCTGACACCACTGAAGAGCTTCACGGAGGACAATAGTCTCCACCACAAGAGGGCCATCCACGTCTTCAAACACCACACCTCTTGCTAAGAGCAGGGACCCTCCTCCATCCTTTATGATCATTCCTCCCGCTGAATCTGAGTTAGCACAAACCGCTCCATCCCACATACAGACGATAGAAGTCAAATCCACCACCTCCAGATTGTGCTGCAAAGGAAACCGATCTCGGACCATCCAATCCTCTGGCAAGGACACCCATTCATGTAGTTGCTGATGGTATTGACGTATCGGTTGAGTAATCATGAACTGCTTTCCCTCAAAGGCAGCCCAGTTTCTAGATTTCCAAATCCGCCACAATAGTGCCACCAGAGCGATGGTTTGGGGTATTGCTTTGGTACTTGTTTGGTTTTTATTTTGGTATTGATTTTATTTTATTTTGGGATTGATATGTTTTATTTTGATATTTGTTAGTGTTTTAACGATTTGGTATTGGTTGTATCTCCTCTTCCGAGAATATAAAAACATAGATCTAGTTATTTTCATTTTGGTATTGGTTGTTTTTTTTATTTTGATATTGATCCAATATTATTTTGGTACTGGTTTGGGTTGAGTGTATTCATATTGGTATTGGTTTGATACTTTTTTTGTTGTTGTGGTGTTCGTTTGAGTGTATTCGTATTAGTAGTGGTTGTCATGTACGTTTTTCATTATGGTACTAATTGTCTAGGCAAGTATGAATTTTTCGTATTGGTATTGATCTTTCTTGGATTGGTACTGATTTTGTCTAGACTGATATAATTTTTTTCGTATTGGTACTGATTTCTCTTCGATTGGTATTGTTTTTTGCTAGGTAGCCGAAGAAAGTACAAATGAATACAATCGATGAAGCACAAGGATGAAAGAATCATAGGAAGGAGGCAAAATGATATGGAAGGAGTGATATAGAGCGAAAAGTTTAGTTTTTATAAAAATTATTTCTCCACCGTAATTAATTCAATGTAATGTAATTAACATAAATATAAGTAATTTTTTATATTCAGTACCAATCCATCCAAACATATTTATATCAACACCATAATATCAACACTTCCAATAAAACATACGCACCACTACCAAAACAACAAGATCATTCCTGCCCTGAGTAAACACGGTGGCTACAAAGATCTAGTAACCACCGTAACCCCTCCCCAATTAACAAACTAAGAAACAACTTGATCACCTTCCTGTCTTTACTACTTTTTTTTTTCTTCTTTTTTGTTATTTATCCATAACGAAAAAGAAAACTACCAACCAACCACAGAGCATGAAGTTGGCGCTGGCAATGGCCGACCCTTTCCCTATTTTCGACCAATCCGTCGCATCAGCAGAATAAGTCCACACTCCAGCATCTAACAGGATAAGCCCGACCGCAAAACCGAAAAGAAGTTGGTGGCGTGGAATAAACTAATTTGGTTGACGAAAATGACAGGACCCGTAGAATCCCCCATTCCATTTTTCCAGTTAGAGAAAGAAGGGATTTCGCGGGAGTCGTCGTCGTCGTCCCCCCAATCACCCGCCTTTAAATTAATTATAAAAAGAAATCTCCCTGAATCAACAACGAGCCGCCTAAATCTCCAATTCCCCCAATTCCCTTCCTTCCACCCATCAATTTATTCTGGTTTCCCCCAATTCCTTCTTCTTCTTCCTCCTCCGCGCAAGGACAACCAAACACAGAAACAAGACAAATATCCAAATCAAATCCAGTTCGGAAAAAGGACAAAGGGGATCGAGATGGGTTTGTCGTCGGAGCAGGGGCGGGGATGCAAGAAGCACCCAACCCACAAAGAGAAGCAAGGGATTTGCCCTTCCTGCCTCAGGGATCGCCTCTTCCGCCTCGACCCTGACGCCCCGCCGCGACTCTCTGCTTCCGTGCCGTCCTCTGCTGCCTCCGCTTCTTCTTGTTCTTCTTCTTCCGCTCCCTCAAGTCACGACGATTACCACGACACTGTCAATAACAACAACATTGACAACGACGACGACGACGACAATAAGGGGGCGGAGAAGAAGCGCGTGGGACACGGCCACCACCGGAGCGCGTCGTCCTCCGACATAGGCTCCTTGTCGTTCCGGCTGGCGCCGCCGGATGTGACGTCGTCGTCGGGGTTGAAGAAGTGTCGATCCGTGGCGGCTTCGTATTCGTTCACTCCCCAGCCGCCGAAGGCGACGAGACGACGCCGCAGCGGGGCGGGAGGAGAGAAGGCGATGTTTAGTAATTACAACGACAAGGATCGTCAAGGCGGCGGGGGTGATTTTGGGTACGCAGGTGGGAAGAAGAAGAAAGGGTTCTGGACGAAATTGCTTCATCTCAAGGGGAAGAACAAGGAGGTGTTGATTCATCATCCTACCATGCCTATGAAGGGAAGAGCCTATTGATATTTTCCACAGGTTGCGCGCCTATTCGTTGATTCAACATTTTTTTTTTATCTGTTTCTTTTTTTAATCCTTAATTCTTAATAATCCAGAATTATGAGGCTTCTTTCTCGATCGATCTACTTCTTCTGTGCCGTGTTACCGTGTATATATATTTTCTTGTTGTTCATGTTGTTTTTTGCTTTTCTGTCTAAGGGGCTCTTGTTCTCGGAATTTGATCTAATTGAGCCTTTGGGGAGCCCTTTCCTTTTCAAAATCTAAAATATAAAATTCCCTTTCTCTACATTATCATCTTTGACTTGGAACTCGGATTTGCAATTTAGAAGTGGTATTCTGAGCTTATCTTTTGTTTCCAACTATGTTTTCGTAACAATTTTTTTTTTTTTCCTCCTAATAATTTGCTATTTAGAAGGAGTTGATGATGTGGACTTCATCGTAAATTTACATAACTGTCATAACTTACGAGTCATCAATTATTATGACAAGGAACTCAAGACACTAATTGGTTGTCTAAGTATAATCGGTTGCTCTATTAATTTTGAGAGCAAATTTTTGAATTGGACACGTATAATTTGAATGAATATCTTTTTATAGACGCTACATAATTGCGAGGTGACTTAAAAACCTTTGTGTCCAAAACTAGCACGATCTCGTCATTGAATCACACACAACCTTGGCAATAGAATAGGTTTCCTCTGGAATGGGTTACCGGATTTAGTTTTGGTGAGAAGTTAGGGTTGGTTGTGTAATGAATTTGGTAGGGAAAAAAAGCAGATCAAAAGCATGATTGATCACCCTTCTTAGAGTGTTATTTGTCTTATTACGAACTTGCTGGAAGGAATTGAGCAAATCTCTCCCAAGAATCCCTGTAACGAAAGTATAGAAGCAGCAATCTTACAGACTTCAGTGTTTGCAAGTTTGAGGGGGAAACGAGAGGAAGAAGATGAATGTAGGAGAAGAACTCCGATGACAACATATTCTTAAACAATAGTTCCCTATCGAAAAGTTACCTCGTTTCACAAAATTCAAATAAGTAAATTAATTGTCCAAAAATAATTTCAAAAATCCAAAATTTATTGATTAATTAGTCACCTTTCAATTATGTAATATATTATATATTGAATTAAGTAAAGTGAGAATGTGGCTTATAAACCACTTGTATTCTTTTTTCCCCTTCCAGTGTGATGTTTCCAATTAGGGATGACAATGGGTAGGGTCGGGTGCGGGTTTACCCTATTACAACTCCTAACCCGTCGGGTAGAGCTTTCTAAAATACCTGACCAAATAACCATCGGGTATGAAAATTATATAACCATACCCTACCCATCGGGCAACCACGGGTATTCGGGTAACCATGGGTACGGATCTTAAACTATGAACTTATACACATATATGCACATATATACTGATGTCCATTAAAAATTCTCAATACTTGTAACTGTTCTAACTTCAACAATCCACACAAATAAAAACAGCAAACACATAATAGTTGTTCTTGCTTCTACAATCCACACAAACATAATAATCGTCTACATCTTCATCATCAATAATGGTAGCTAAACTCAATTTCTAAAGCTAAAATAAATTTCTCAAGGGAAATTGACCCTTTGGTTAGCGGGGCGGGTATAACGGGGCGGGTATTATCGATTACCATACCCGTACCCTACCCTTTATTTTGAAACCGGGTATTACCCGTACCCGCCCTTTAACCCGTCAAAACGGGTAATTACCCTCGTTGACCGGTTACGGTCGGGTAGGGTACCCATGGTTATGGGTTGGATTGACATCCCTATTTCCAATAACTATAGGGTACTAAACTCCAACAGGTTGTATTACTTAAAATAAAGCATTTAATTGGCAGAGGAGTGGCGTGGCGTGGCGTGAGGTTATGAACTAAAGAGGGTCAAAAAGATTTGTGCTCTACAAAACGAGATTCATTTTTAATATTTTTTGAGAAAAAAATATTTCTTGCCTCTCGATATGATATCTTCGTATTTGCACATGTTTTCACTCTTGTTTCCTGAGCATTTTAGCTCGAATTTGTTGTTCATTGGCCTATTTTACGCTAGGTTGTGTTGTTTTGTCGTATTTCAGGTTCTAGCAAGTAAAGAGGTGCATAGGCGCAAGTTTCGGGTCATTTGGAGGTCAGGTGGCGATTCAAGAAGCAAATTACAGCCAGCCCCTGCCCATTTACCGGCGTAATTGCTCCTATTATGCCCGTAAATGCAATGCCGAGCCTAATTCTTCAGAATTCCTGTCGCAGAGAAAATTACGGGCAAGAGTCAAAGTAACTACGGTCGTAATTCCATAATTACTGGCAGTAATTGGGTAATTATGACCGTAATTCCCTTCCTCAGAGTTAAGTGAAACGCGCGTTTTGGGCGATTTACGGGCAGACCATGATTACGACCGTAATTCAGCCCGTATTTCGCCCAGAATCGGGGTTTTGAGGGAGATTGGATCAAAGGAGAGAGAATCGACTTTTTGGAGCAAAAACATAGTTTTAGAGAGAGACAGTGCGAAGAACAAACCCTAGGAGCTATTTGGAGTGGATTTCTCACCATTGAAGCCCAGATTGCATCTCCGGGAGTGAAGATTGACATCACAGAGCAGATTCTTCCCATTGTTATGAGTATGACTGCTTCGTATTATGTTTGCCTCTCTCTCTCTATGGAATAGAACTTTCTCTCACTTGGGTATGAAGAACCCTAGTTCCATGTGTTAGGGATCTTGATTGTAATGACTTGGGATTGTCATACTGTTTGATTTTAATCGATTGATGCATGATTCATTGAGTCAATTAAAGCCTTATCATCTTTTCTTGATTTCTGCTGCAACCTGAGATAGATAGAATCTAATTAGGTTGTTAGAGCTTCATCAATCGGTAGTGGTAGATTGGTTATACGAGAGTTAATCAATCTACTGCTTTGTACTGGAACCCAATTCCAGTAGTGGAGTTCTGTGCTTATTGCCTCAGCAGTCTATCCCGGTGAAGGTTAGTCACCTGCCGGTTAGCCTGCCTGAGAGGGCTTGGTCAGCTTAAGAGATTCTAAGCTACTGTCGGATCTTCCGCAGTTTAATCAACAGTAAATCAACCTAGGGTAATTACAACTGAGACTTAACTAAGGAGCTAGGGGGACTCATTACCGAGTGACTCTTCCTTTGCTTTAGAAAACCGAACCATTTCCTATTTTCTTACTGCTTTTAGTTAAAATCACAACCACTCAACTTAGTTTGCTAGATAACAGATATACACGGAGTAGGCAGTAGATCTAGACCCCCGGTTGACAATTAGAGCTTGCCTGTTACTGCATTTCCGGACTGCGATTACACTTGGTCGCAGTTTGGTGTTGTGTTTTAGCGTGTCAAGTATTTGGCGCCGTTGCCGGGGACCCTCTAGGTTATTGGAGAAACGTGAAAGTTTTTTACTCTAGCCTTTTCTTTATTGCATTTTCTCTCTTCCACCTGTGTGCCCTCATGGGTTGCTTTTGCTGATTGTGTGCAGGTAGTGCATGACCTGTAGCTAGTCGGGAGATTTACTACCATTAGACCAGGAGCTTGAACGGACCTGTAGGAACTTCAAGCGGGCTCTAAAGGCGCGATTGGCTGTTGAGGAGGCGCTAGCACAGCTGCAAATCGTCGACGAAGAAGAGATGAGTGACCCACTGGACCATGATGTGGTCCTTCCCGAGGAGCAAACCATGGGGTACTACTGGACCGCCAGAGCCGCGGACATGAGGTCGCCCATTCAGCACCCTCAAGTCCCAGCCAACAACTTTGAGGTGAGCACCTCGGTCATCACTATGTTGCGCGGCTCGGTAGTATTCCATGGCAAAGAGGGGGGGTGCCCCCGATCACATCTGAGGCGATTCCACGAGCTCATCGACGGAATCAAGATAAATGGGATCCTAGCCGATGCCATCCAGCTGAGGTACTTCCCATTCACTTTGGAGGGGCAGGCCAAGGAGTGGTTGGACACCAGGCCCCCTAGATCGATCACCACGTTCGCCAATCTGGCGGACAAGTTCCTCACTCGCTACCATTCCTCGTCCAAGACGGCGGACCTGCAGAAGCAAATCACCCACTTTGCTCAGGATGAACATGAGACCATCCGGGATGTTTGGGAAAGATACACCAGTCTTTTCCTCAAGTGTCCCAACCATGGTTTTACTGACGCCTTCAAGGTGGACACCTTCATGGTGTTAAGCATCAGGTGTCGGTGGCTTACCATCCCCAGTCAAATGGGCAAGCCGAGCTGACGAACCGGGAGCTTAAACGGATAATTGAAAAGACGGTGGATCAGTCCCGCAAGGATTGGTCCACCAAGCTCGATGATGCTCTTTGGGCATATAGGACGACCTATAAAAACCCGATTGGCACTTCCCCCTATAGGCTTGTCTATGGGAAGGCGTGTCATTTGCCAGTAGAGCTAGAGCATAAGGCCTTCTGGGCCCTTAAGCTGCTAAACCTGGATTTGAGTGTTGCAGGTACTGAATGTAAGTTACAGCAACTGGAGTTGGAGGAATGGCGTTACCACGCCTACGAGAACACCATGCTCTACAAAGAGTGAACCAAGCGTCTCCACGACGCTCGGTTGAGGGGCCCGGAGGATTTTTAGGTAGGTGATCGTGTTCTGCTCTTCAATGCACGCCTGAAACTCTTCACAGGCAAGCTACGTTCGAGGTGGTCGGGACCATTCACGGTCACCCAAGTATTCCCGCACGGGGCGGTGAGATCAGCAATGCTCAAACTGAGCCATTCAAGGTCCCAAGTACAATTTTAGGAGGTGGCCATTCAAGGTGAATGGCCACCTCCTAAAATTGTACTTGGGAGGTGTTGTCGAGCGCGCAGAGCTGCTGATCAAGCTCGAGGATCCTTAGTTCCTCTACTGGGGTCCAGCTAAAAGACGATAAAGAAGCGCTTGTGGAGAGGAAACCCCACCGCGGTTTGCATTTCTGTTTTTTTTTTTCATTTCGTTTTTGTCGGTTTTTGAGTCTGTCTGA